CATCAAAAATTTCGCCTAGAAACGTCTGTGTCTCTTTTCGTGTCAACTTCATGACATTGTAGAGTGTTTCGCAAGCATAATACCGCACGCGTGAGTCATTGTCGTGGAACATTCTGATGACAGGAACAATAATTGCCCCATGATACAACGAAGCATTCTGAACACACTGGTGATAATGACGGATGGAAATACCTGGCTTAATCCGACCGCTACAGAGGCCAACCCGAGTAGGCCACCTTTTCTTGTATGAGGATTTGGTGACATAACGAAATCTTGACTGAAATAACCAACAAGCCGAACGATATCACTGCGCTTGTCTTGTGCGAAAGCTTCCTTGGTTATTCTTTAATCCGTAATCAGTATACAAAAATTTTGTGTACCGTTCAATCTCTGCAGCGGCCAGCTTTCGTTTTTCGAATAATTTATCCACAAGATTCTTGACACATGCCGCAGTAAGTGGAGGATAATCTCGCTCCATATTTATTTGGGATATATACCTGTATAACAGTAAATGTGATAAAGACTGATAAAATCTCCAGTTGATTGACTGCGTAACCGTGATAAAAGAAAATTGTCAATAAACAGACAATCACCGCAGAACAGACAAAAAATGAGCTTATTCTGCGATGTCGACCTAAACCAGAGTATCCAGTGTACCCGATCAGTATCTTGTATTCTATTCTATTTCATTCACTCCTGAGTTCAGACTGCGTGTGTACTGTGAAACGAGAGCCAACAGGTCACCTGGTGTTCTCAAGAGATCAGAAACGAAGCGGGTTAAAGGAAAGGATAGATACAACTACGTCGAACTAGAGAGGATTCTGGAGGACTTTGGGTTGGATGCTTCTAGACCGAGTGGTTTGCTTATTTTCCAAGTGTTAAGCGCTTGGTGTTTGATTCTACCTAGTGCTCATGAGGGTAAAGAACACAGGCGCCAGTGAGAAAGGACGAGAGAGGAGTCGGATGATTGAAAGGGCACGGTTGGAAGCAAACCGGGAAGCGCAAATCTCAACTGTCTCATGTGGTTCACATTTAAGACCACCAGAGGAACAGCAGATGCGAGTGAAATTCGAAAGGCAGAAACTGCGGCAACCTGCTTTGTCAAAAGGACTGGATTTTTCATTTAGCGATGGCAGGCAAGAACAAGTATCCTGCGTTAAAGGGTATGTAGGGTTCTTACGTTGACGATCACTTGTTTCTAGCTTGCATCAAGCCATCAACAAGAGACTGTACTTGGTGTGACAGCTTGTGCACCTCTGTGATATATATATATATATATATACCACCAATCTCCGCAGATAAGACGCCCAAATAACTGTGGGTTTAACGCAAAACACGGAAAAAAGAGGGAAAATAAAAAAAAGTTCACTTTGGGAATAACGAACATTTTTGTTTATTTACTTCACGCAGTTTTGAGTTTTTGCATTTGGTTTTGTTTATTTTTGGGATCGCATACAGGAGAGGTCAATGCCCCTCGATCAGGGAGATCGATCCACAGTAAAAAGCCTAGGGTTAGGTTTTGGGAAGGTCATCAACTCGCCAGGGGGCATGACTTGGACAGTGATGCAGTCCCCGGGGGCAAATAAGTCACAAAACGAGTCGGTTCCTCGGGGCCTGCGACCGACGATTCGCCGGAATTAAGGCAGACTCACCACCCTAAGGAGGAAGAGGCTGCCAATGTATGGTACACAAATGCCTGTAGCATTAAAGTCAAGTGNTAACTATGCTGTCTACAGGCAGGATAGAGAGGATGGCAGACAAGGGAGAGTGTTGATCTTGGTCAAGAATAATATGAACCATTGGAATGCACAAACCACCCTAGCTACACCTAATATCCAGGTCATAGCATGCAATGTGCTCTTAGGT